GTTACTGCTCTTTCCCCGACTTACCATCCTCCCTACTCTTTAGTCATTACTATATTAAGTGACATAACGGCGTAAGGTAACGGTTTATAAAGCAATGGACATAATAGCTTCGAGGTCCCTTCCGGTCCGCACACTAATTTCTTTCTACATTTCTAATTCCCTTTATTAGAGAAGGACCACCTAATCACCCTAGGCTTACACACCGATAAAGATAATGTCATTCCTTTTTTTAATTTGTTCTGGCTAGCTCCTTCTGCCAGTGATATCCATCGTTATGAGGTGAGTGTTCACATGCTCTTGCGTGGAACCTCAGTGAAAACTTCTTATAATACTAAGGATTTACCCGTCCATTTTTTGCATTTCCGTAAGATCTTTGCATATGCAGATAACCCGATCCTAGCAGACTGGCAGAGAACCACTGATCCCGTGTAAAAATCTAGCTTTTCGTATTAAAAATTTGCCATTTAGATTATCCAAAAAGAATACGGAGATGTAAAACATTTATTGCAAGGGCACTAACGGGACCGAAAAGCTTTTGTTTCTTTGTCTGTACCTTTAATTACGCATCGATGTTCGCTCCAATTTTTCTTTTCTATCACAATTCAATAATATTCTCAAAGATACGGTAAATGAGAGACCACGGAACTTAGCTGACCTTGTCCTCTGAGATCGGAGTCGAGACAGGAAGGGGCTCCACGATGTCCACCGTCAGCCTGCCCTTCAACACCTCCCAGGCTCCATTGGGGTCGGTGCTCAGGTCAATGGATTCCGTCATGTCCTGCGGGAAAATGGACACACAGTTACCCAAGCTGTCAAAGCCGTCTTTCGGGACCTGTGTGTAATGCAGAGGACTACTGGCACGTCATCGCTACACAAGAGGCGAGTTGTTTACATAAGAGTGAAAGAGGTGTGGCTAGTCATTAGATTGCCTTCGATTACACCACTATTAAATCCAAGTACCCACGTTTCACAATCTAGCTGATAAAGTCATCACATGAGCGTGCAAATACATAATCTCAAAATTTTAAAAACTTGAAAATTTCAAAGTTATCCCAATAATTCCAGAATGCAGGGGAAGACATCATAAAATCAAGTCTACCATACGCAAACGTTATTTTTTCTGTCTAATAGTATGGGAGGAGTGTTGATTCTACGCTCGCCCTCCCCATAATTGCCAGCTTCCTCCCAAGCGGACGAACAGACAACGCCCTGTTATAAAACCTGTTCCCCTTTCAGCCCTGTCCCTCTACCGATACCCTTCGCTTTCGGAATTCTGTCTGTGTCTACTTTCACTCTGGTATTTGAGAAGAATGTAGGTGTTTGTAAGACTTGGCACGTGCCCTGGATAGGCCTATGAGAATTTGTAGGGTAGAGGCCGAGATAAATAAATGATAAGAGATGAGAGGGGAGATAAATAAACGTCAGCAATTATCACAAATATATAAAAATACATATCTACAAAAAAATATACACACATAGGGAGAGAAAGGGTGGGAATTGCCGCAGCCGTCTACGTTCTCAATTGCCATATCAGCAAAAGCGGAAAAGAAGAGATAACACAAACTTCAAAAATTACTATAAAAAGAACCGTCTTTTTCTTCATTTGCGGATTCTTGCTGCCGTCTCCAAAAGTCTAAAAGTGAAGGATAGACAAGAGAGCAGTGCGCGCGAGGACGACATGGGCGCCTTTAAAGACTATCCGAGGGTCAGGGACTATGTGGAGGACGACCTCGACCAGACCGACCACGGGGCACTTAGAAACAGCTCTATGTCCAGAGCAAAGGACTAGAAGACCAGTCGAGCAGGACCAGACGGTGTTCGCCCTTAAGGTGGTGCTTTTCGCAGTTGAAGCACTACGTCTGGCTGGGCATTCGGACACGGCCCTAGACGAAGATAAGACCAGCTGATCCGCGCCTTAAATTAGACCGCAAGCGAAAGTAAGTGGCCGAGGGACGGAAAAATGCTAAAGATACAATTTACCATGAATTCAAGATCGCGATTCACACCACGTCAGGTCATGTAATAGATCGCGATTCATCCCAAGTCACGCCAAAATAGACCATGCTCTCGTCCCCCTACCCCTTGGCTGGCTGGATGTCCGAGCGGGGTTTCCCTCCACGCGGCGTCCACGCATTCCATTTACTTCTGGAGTATTTTTGCGTTCTGCAATCTCTTCTAGAAGCAATAAAGAATACCAGACAACGCATCAGTGCTCGAGAGAGAGAGAGAGTGAGAGAGAGAGAGAGAGAGAGGAGAGAGAGAGAGAGAGAGAGAGAGAGAGAGAGAGAGAGAGAGAGAGAGAGAGAGAGAGAGAGAGAGAGAGAGAGAGAGAGAGGGGGGGGGGAGAAAGAAAGTGAGAGGGGAGACAGAGAGAGAGAGAGAGAGAGAGAGAGAGAGAGAGAGAGAGAGAGAGAGAGAGAGAGAGAGAGAGAGAGAGAGAGAGAGAGGGAGGGAAGGGAGGGAGGGGGGAAAGAGAGAGAGAGGGGGGAGGGGGAAGAGAGAGAGAGGGGTGGAGGGGGAAAGAGAGAGAGAAAGAAAGAAAGAGAGAGAGGAAGGGAGGGGGAAAGAGAGAGAGAGAGATAGAGAGAGAGAGAGAGAGAGAGAGAGAGAGAGAGAGAGAGAGAGAGAGAGAGAGAGAGAGAGAGAGAGAGAGACAGACAGACAGACAGGAAATATATTAATTCACGCATATATTCAGACAAAGTTCTTCAACCGCTAAATACATCCGCAATGGAGTGCAGCAAACCACATATTGATCCTTAACTATTCAATACAAGAAAAATGCTCTGGAGAGGATTGTGGGCACACACACACACATTCACACACACACAACTCACACACACACACACACACACATACAATACATATATATATATATATATATATATATATATATATATATAGTGTGTGTGTTGTGTGTGTGTGTGTGTGTGTGTGTGTGTGTGTGTGTGTGTGTGTGTGTGTGTGTGTGTGTGTGTGTGTGTGTGTGTGTGTGTGTGTGTGTGTGTGTGTGTGTGTGTGTGTGTGTTATGTCGGAAGGAAAGAGAGGGAGAGATGACACGGAAATGTAAGCCCAACATTGCCCCACATCTCGACATGACGTCACGTGGTGCAAAACGTTTCCACGATATTCTCTTCGGGGCATGCTTCCATCAATGTTTACTGACCTTGAACATCGAGTCGAGAATCGATGTTACCCTTACTAGCAACCGCAAATACGAAATGTCTAATCTTCCACAAATTAAAAATAGTTTCGCGATTAATCTACGATTTTCACAACAACAACAACAACAAAAAAAACGCTGTTACATAAACACAACACTTGTGATGAAAACCGAGTTGAGTTCAATACATTTGCTTGGCATTACGGAAAGAGGAGGAAAGGTGTCATTACCCAACCAACCTTTGTAAGTAAGTAAGTAATAATGACAAGAAAATAAATGTGCTAGACATCAAAGGTCATATAGCACTAACCAACCTTCGCGAGCCGCACCCACTGGAAGTTCTGTCATGTTCGTGTACATATTTCACCATCGTCCGTGGGGAAACGTCACTAAACCGGACGTATTCTTGATAAAAAATCAGATTACTAGGAACATCGATATAGGTCTGACCTCATATATTCCTCTAAATATTGGTGATAAGATTACGGTAAATGAGAATCAGTCGCATGATGCAATCACCAACATGACCGACACATACCGGCTTAAAAACAACGACAGAGAGAAAAAGAATGAGTGAAACCTACCATAGAATAAAAGAACTTAGCACGCCCTACTTTACACCCGTATCCCCCCCAAAATCAATAATCCTCTTATTAGAAGCCACAGCATGTATTAAACTACGTTGCCTGCAGACACGTGGAGCAACGACAATGCTGCGACGTAAAAGAAGAATAGCTAATACTTTACCGCGCCACAGTTGGAACAGCACTGCATGGTGATGTGTCCCGTCCTATTGAAGACTCGGTTCTATTATATGTCAGGTACCTTAGTGCGGTTTTCACATACGGTTTTATGGCTCGTTTACGTTTATTGCATGGAACTGCCATTACAGTTTTATAAACATGTATGTATTTGACACAAGTTCAGATAATACTTTTTTCCTCTTGTGTGTCATTACGAAATGTTTGAAATTTAAATTGTTTCGCTGTGCTGATGGTGGCATTTGGCACCTCTCTCTCTCTCTCTCTCTCTCTCTCTCTCTCTCTCTCTCTCTCTCTCTCTCTCTCTCTCTCTCTCTCTCTCTCTCTCTCTCTCTCTCTCTCTCTCTCTCTCTCTCTCCCTCTCCCTCCTACTCTCCCTCTCCCTCCTACTCTCCCTCTCCCTCCTACTCTCCCTCTCCCTCCTACTCTCCCTCTCCCTCCTACTCTCCTCTCCCTCCTACTCTTCCCTCCTACTCTCCCTCTCCCTCCTCTCTCCTCTCCTCTCTCTCCTCTCTTCCCTCTCACTCTCCTCTCCCTTCTCTCTCCTTACTCCCCTCTCCCTCCCTCTTCCCTCTCTCTCCCACTTCCACTCTCCCTCTTCCACTCTCCACACTTCCACTCTCCCTCTCTCTCCACACTTCCACTCTCTCTCTCACACTTCCACTCTCCCTCTCTCTCCCCACTTCCACTCTCTCTCCCCACTTCCACTCTCCCTCTCTCTCCCACTTCCACTCTCTCCCTCTCTCTCCCACTTCCACTCTCCCTCTCTCTCCCACTTCCACTCTCCCTCTCTCTCCCTCCTTACCTGCCTCCTCCCTCCCTCTCTCCCTCCTTACCTGCTCCTTCCCCCTCTCCCTCCTTACTCCCTTCTCTCTCTCTCTCTCTCTCTCTCTCTCTCTCTCTCTCTCTCTATATATATATATATATATATATATATATATATATATATATATATATATATATATAACGCTCATTCTATCAGTCTCTGTATCTATCTATCTATCAATGTCTAGCGCTCACTCTCTCTCTCTCTCTCCTACCTCTCTCTTTCTTTCCTCCCTCCCTCTTTCCTTCACTCCTATCCATCTCTCCTTCTCTCCCTCCCTCCCCTCCTCCCTTCTCTCTGTATCTATTTATCTCTACCCCCCCCCCCTCACTCTCTCTCTCTCTATTGCATCATGCGTTCTTCCTGTACATCATCTATTTCATATACTGGATTATTCATTAATGAGCTCAATATTCCCATAAAATGTGGACATTGCAGAACGGAAAGAGATTCTTCCTTAAAAAGAAATTATGCAACGTGTACAGGTATGTAATGTCTGCAAAAATTCCGTTTTGGATCGTCAGACATCACTGGAGAAATGGTAAAGAATGGTGTAACTTCCGTTCTGTATGTTACACCATTCTAAGTAAGTGAGTGAGTGAGTGAGTGTGTGTGTGTGTGTGTGTGTGTGTGTGGTGTGTGTGTGTGTGTGTGTGTGTGTGTGTGTGTGTGTGTGTGTGTGTGTGTGTGTGTGTGTGTGTGTGTGTGTTTGCATATAACTAAGTAAACATAGGTGCTCACGCACAGTTTCGATCTCAGAGTGCAACCACATTCGTGGAATGCTAAATTACTAGAAGTCATAAAAGAGTACTGCCTATTCCAGAATGTAACAGATCATACCAGGGTAAGAGGGCTAGGTAGACCATCTATGCTTGACCTAATATTCACAAAGCATAACGATGATATTAAGGATATCGAGTACTGTCCTCCTTTAGGAAAAAGTTCAACTAAAATACTGCTTGCTACAGGAAAAAATCGGCGTATGTAAGAACCGAACGAAGTGCAATTACAAGAGAGGTGATTATAGAAGCCTGATAGATCTCTTTGATGGCATAAACTGGGAAACACTACTGGGCGATGAGAACCTTGATGTTCAGTATTGAAAATTTTGTGAAATCTCTCTCTCTCTCTAAAAAGAAAAAAAAATGGTAGAAACATTCATATCAAAATTCAAAACTGAACCAAGAAATGTCCAAAAATGATTCAATAAATGCAAGAAAATTGGAGAAAACAAGCATCTCCTTTGAAAAAGATTCAGAAGACATAGATCTCAGGCAGCGTATGAAATACATGAAGTAGGAAGAAATGAGTATACCCAGACTATGAGAGAGGCGAAATTAGACTTTGACAAGGATGTAGTCAACAATCAAGTCAACCAAAACTCTTCTTTAACTACACAAATAGTAAAACTAAGAATAGAGGTCAAATTAACGCTGTCAAAGACAATAACATTATCTATTCGAAGGAGGAAGATATGTGTGATAACTTAAATGAGAAATTTCAGTCAGCGTTTGTTCAGGACTCATACTTCGATATGTGAAACACCCATACTAATGTAAAAGAACGTCGAAAACATCACCTTCAAAAAGAATGAAATAAAAGATCTATTAAAGGATTATACAAGACCAAAGCAGAAGGATCAGATGAGATTTCTAACTGGGTTCTCAGGTAATATGCCGAATAACAATTATGTACTCCTTTATTTTATTAGTATTCTAAAATTCAGTGAGACAAGGTAAACTCCCAAAAAATTGGACACTCACCAAAGTTACACCCTTATATATGAACGGCGACAAACATAACCCTCTTAATTATAGACCAACATTAACTAGTGTAGTATGCAAGTTGTTAGAAAGGCTAATTATGAAACGATGGGTTGAAGTCCTTGAAAAAACACGAAATTGCATCAAATAAACAATTTGGTTTTAGAAAAGGATGGTCATGTGTAATAAATTTCTGTTTTTATGATAGAGTATCTGAAAAATTACAAGAAAGAGACTTCTGGGTGGATTGTGTGTACTTGGACTTAAAAAGGCTTTTGATAAGGTGTCTCGTAGAAGACTACTATGGAAATCAGAGCACCTAGATGGAGTGAAAGGCAAACTACTCGCATGGATGAAATACTTCCTTCATGAAAGACAGATAAGCACCGTAATTACAGGGAAACATTCTACATGGCGCCGAGTAACCAAGGATCGGTGTTGGCGCCGATTATGCTTACTATATTCATCAATAATTTGCAGTCAAACATAAGCACAGGTAGGTATTTCAGTATATTTACAGACGACGCGAAGATGCAAAAAAGGATAAAGACAACGTCTCATGCCAATGACTGCAAAGTGATATCGAGAACTTATTCACTTGGAGTTCTACTTGGAAAATGGAATTCCATACCAATAAATGCTACTTAGTAGAAACACTATCCCCTTCCTTGGGGAGGTGGAAACCTGCAATGTCCCAGAGTAAAACAGCCATATTTAGTGACATACCAATAAATGCTACCACATAGTCAGGTTCAGAGAAAGTAGAAATCGCCCACTATCCCAATATAAATTAGGTGACGTAATATTTAACACAGTTGACAAGGAAAAAGATCTTGGGGGTAATCATAAACAGAAACCTAATCCCAAATGATCATATAAATGAAAAGGTCCATAAAATGCTAGGGCTGATTACCAACATGAAGATGGAATTCGTTTATGTGGACGAAGATATGGTAAAAAAGATCATTACAGTAATCATAAGACCTAGTCTTGAGTACGGTGCAGTGGTATGTAGTCCACACTTTTAAAAAAAGGATATAGACAAACTGGAAACAGTTCAAAGAGCGGCCACAAGATGGACACATCCACAAAGAGTATAGACTATATAGGACTTACTACTTTGGAAGAAAGGAGGAAAGGGGGGACATGATTATGCTGTTCGACTGTATTACAGGAAATGTGACGCTAGATAAAGATGACTTTAATCTTGAACTCAAGAAGAACGAGAGGACACAACAAAAAGTTGAAAGTAAAAAGAGGTAATAGAGATGTCAAAAAATTTAGTTTCCCAAACAGAACTATTGAAGCATGGAACAGTCTTAATAAAAAAAAAACGAAGTGTGTGCCAAAAATGTGTATCAATTAAAAAAATTATACGACAATTTATATATAGCAGACGGGTACACCTGAATTTAACTCTTCTGTAGTGAAACAGCTAGGTAGGTAAGGTAGGAACACACATACATATATTCATATATGTAAATATATATATGAATATATAAATACATGTTTACTTCTGTACCTGTACTGAGAGTGAGACAAAGTTTGAAACTGTTACATATAGGATCCCTCTCCTCGCAGGCTCGTAGGCAGCGGTAAACAAAAACCTATTTCAAGTCCGGTGATTCTTGTGCATACATTCCTTTTCCATCTTTCGCTGAACACCAAGTAAGTATTCTTTGATTCAAGTAGATCATGTTTTATGTTCAGCTCTACTGATTTGATCGTGAGATTTTGTTTTTAGAAAGGATCCAAGCAATTACTCCGGCAACAATTTGAATTTAAATCTTACGAGGCTTTCGTGGAATCTTTGACCATATCACTTATTAACTTTAGTAATATAAGCGACACCCGTTGCGGATTTCAAAGTGGAACATATGATTACCATTTACAGTAACTGTGTTCTATCAGAAAATCCTTGAAATTTGCCTTGAGCTGTATATTCTAACGAAATAGAGAACGTAATTTTACAGACTATATCCGCCAAACGGATCAAGGAATTTGGTATCGATGGATTCCTATCATTTTGTATTACCCCCATATATATCCATATTATTGCACGGAAACCCCCAAACCCCCACATCCTCGGCCCTGATAGTAGGGGAGGGCATGAAAGGTACGAGAAAAATTGTGGGGTAAGATATGAAAAATACAAGCAACATCAGTTCCCTTGTTGTCTTATGAAGAGGCTGTACCCCCCGTGAATCCCAATGAGGGGCTGAATGCTCCCCAACCAAACCCCAGGAGAGCAAAGAATCCTTCCTGTATTCACAGCAGGAAACAGTGACGGACAGACTCTCCATCCAGTTATCCTGCATGATGGTTGTAGGCTCTTCCCAGACTGTAGAGATTGGTCTGCCTGCGCAAAAATTATTTGGTCAAATTCTGTCCACACAAATGTAGTTCTCGTATAACTTTCCGCGCACGATTAGTTCATTTTTTAAGTAATCTTCTGCGCACAAAGTCCTTTTGACCTTTCTGCGCACTTGTTTCATCATCTATCCATAGATCCGTCTGCGCAAATGTAGACAAAATTATGTTTTCCGCACAGGAAAAATGTATGTAAATTCCTGCGCAAGAAAAATACTCTACAGTCTGGGGCTTTTCCCTGCTGTGAATATGTGGAGGATTCTTTATATTCCTTTGTGGAGGGTTGGGAACAGCAGCCTCCCATGGGGGTTCTTAGAGGGCACAGCCTCCTCGTTAGACAATTAGGTAATTGATTCTGTGTATATTTTTCATATCTAACCCCTCACTTTCCCAGGTACCTGTCATGGCCTCCCCTACTATCTGTCCAATCATTTCTATGTATTGGATTGTAGAGAATTAGAGGAATCCATTGATACCAAAATTGTTGGTCTGTTCAAAGCAGTTTCCTTTGGGCATCTCACTTTGATGTCCAGTTTTGATTGTTCAGAAAATATCCAATTTATAGTGTAGATTTCTTAATGTTGATACCTATTATTATATGGCTACATTATTTTTCCAGATGATTATGCAGTAATGGCCAGGACAAAACTTTTGCAAAATGGTTAAGTGAAAATACAGCAAAACCAAGACAGTGCACTACATACACTAAAAATGTAGTTGCAAGGATATAGATTGGAGGAAAGCTTTTCCCCCTATCCCAAAACTAACCTTCCAATACTCCCTACCACAAACAAGTAAAGATAAAACAGTAAGCATCACACTGCATTACAGAACTCCAGAATGCCCAACATGACTAGTGAAACTCAGGAGAAGATCATGTCATCCCCAGTCCTTAGAAGTCAAAGACTATCAAGGAAAGCAGTTTTTCGAAATGCACTGACAGGTAAGAATGACGCGTGTGTTTCGAAAAGCCCCCAAAATGTAGGGCAAAAATCACATTGTGGTCCCTTGTCATCACCTGTCCTTAGGAGCCAAAGAAAAATGAGGTGTTGGGTTGGTGGGGCAGCCGATGAGAACACACCCACCAGGAAGAGGCCAAGAGAACATGATGAAAGGCAAACTACCAAGAAGATAGATACTCCAAAAAGCACAACTCCAAGGTCAAGAAAGTATGCAGAAATTGACAGCCCTTCAACTGCATTCATGAATCATGATGACTCCTTCCTAGAAAGTGTCAATTTTGATGAGCTGGACTCATTAGAATTAACTCCAATTGAAAAGCCAAAGATTTTAAATAACAACAGAATGCCTTTGTCTAACAGTGGTTTACATTCAAGCCCATATCTGCTACGTAAAACCCCACGAAGAATTAACCTTCAGAACACAAGTGAATTCATTCAGCCACCAAGAATATGTGCCAATCCTAACACAGCCACTAAAGCTAGAAAACAAGTGTTTAGTGACTTTTGTAAAGAGAAGGTAATTGTTGATAACTGTATTAAAACAAGTGTTCCAAAAGAAGTGTCAATGTATGAGGGAACTGTTATTCCAGAAAGCAGCTGTAGTACAAATAGTAGCCATCAACATCTTATGTCCAGTGTTAATTGCAGTGCCCAGGCAGACAATAATATCACAAAAGCTAATTCCAAGAAGACATCTGGGAGAAGTTCGCCTGATATTTTTGGGGAAGAACAGTTGGATTCTCAGTTTGATGATACATTTGGTCTCACAGACACCCAAATGTCATGTCTGGATGAAGCATACTTTGATGGGAGCAGTGACCCATCACGCAATACCCAAGATTTCATTAAACCTGATGCAAAAGTTGTAGTGAAATCCACTTCTAGTCATGAAGCAGCTAATATTAAGAATAATACATCCCAAGAGATTTCTCCCACAACCTCAAATGGACAAGCAACACATAATAAATCAGGAGATTCATTTGGTTCTCCAGACTCACAGCTTAGTTTCATTAGCACACAGGGATCTCAGGCACTTCTGGATCGTTTTCAGAACAGGTTAAAGGATGCAGTGACTTCGAATCAGACTGATGGTGAGTTTTTTCTTTTTCTTTTCTTTTTCTCTTTTCTTTTCCTTTTTTTTCCCTCTCTTTTTTTTTTCTTTTCTTTTTTTCTATTTCTCCCCTTTTGTTAATACTTCACAAACTATGATATTAGTTTTATTATTTTATATTGTCTTTAGTGCTTACATTTGTTATAGAAGTTAGCAATTGTGTGTTCAGATATTGATCAAAAGTTTATCCATAATAAATATGGTTGCTAAATCCTTTCAGTCCATTGTCTTACTGTGGTATTGGTTTTGTAAAAAATATTAATTTACAAATTTATCTATAGCACCCATCAAGACTGCTACTGAGCGTCGGGCAGAAGTTGTTGCTGCAGTGATGGAAGCTGTAGAAATGACCTCAAATGATGACTTTGAACTTGGTCCATTCTTTGGACTCCCCTCCAAGGTGCTAGATGTGCTCAGGGCTCATCGTGGCATTTCAAAGCTCTATGGTTAGTTTTTTGTTAGATCAACTAAAGGCATAGTAAGATGATGTCTAGTGCTGTCAAGCTCTTTGCATTATTACTTTATATATCTATGCTGAAATACATTGCAATAACCATTTCAATATTTATACTTGAACATCATGTATGCTTTGATGATAATTGTATTCCACACTTGATGTCAGTTTCAAGGATCATTGTTTTGTGAGAGGCTCACTTTTTTTTTTTCTTCACAGAGAACTAAACATAGTAATTGCATTTTATTTGCATAGTTGTCCATATTTCAGATTGGCAGGAAGAGTGTATTATTAAAGGCTCAGGCTCAGAAAACCTCATCTTTTCTCTCCCAACAAGCGGTGGGAAGACCCTGGTGGCGGAAGTGCTGATGCTGCGGCAGTTGCTCCTCAAGAAACAAAATGCACTTCTAATTCTTCCCTATGTGGCTCTTGTCCAAGAAAAAGTTTGTATCACTTGGTCTTTTTTGCAGCCTGAAGGCAATTATGTTGTACTATTTGTTTGCGTAGTTATTCCGATGTTGATGTTTATGGTCTTTGGATGTGAATGGATATTTGTTATTATGATGAGCAACTTTTCTTTCTTTCATTCATTCTCTCATTTAATACAAAGGTACGTGGCCTGGCACCTTTTGGAGTGGAGCTAGAGTTTCTTATTGAAGAATATGCTGGAAGCCGTGGATCATTCCCTCCCAAGGCTAAGCGGAAAAAGTATGTACTGTATATATATATATATGAAAAGCTAATGGTAGTTCAAAGATAAAGATAAGAATCTATAGTGAGAAGGTAGTGGAATTGCTAGATCTCCCAGAAATTTTGTTTATATTAAGGAAAGTTTACCTGTAAAGTATGCTTGCCAGCTTTTCAGCTTTGTAGGTTTTGTTTTTTGTAGTTTGCAAGCCTCACTTGGAAAATAGTTATTTGGGAATTCTTGATATCTGTGAACAACTTTTAATATATAAACTAATATATTTAGAATTATCTTAAAAATTGAATGTTTACCGCTTTACTCTTATACTATACTTTGCAGTTATGTATACTGGAATGGCTTCTTAATAGTTTAAGGACATCTTAAATTTTGACTTTTGAGTTTTGTGAGGCTGGGATATATTAGTACATGCCACTGTATGTTTAGGCTGTTGTCCAGCTCACAGCCAGGCTCCCAAGGCATCATCTCAGCTGCTGGGATCCGGATTCCCAACAGGATTAGATGTCGCCTGGCACCAGTAAAGTTTTTACCATGTTGTAATTAGACATCACCTGGCATAAATGAGTTAATTTACTCTAGTTGCAAGTCTAGCAGTGGCCTGCTACCTGTTGCAATGACTAGACTGTTTTCTTAGTCAAGAATTCTTCATATTTCCTTTTTTTATGAGCCTTGTAGCTGTTTATTGCTCTTCTTTAAGTAAATCCCTATTTTCCTTTGAAGTCACCATTGTTACGTATGTTTTTTCGCACTTGACCTAGAGATACGAGGAACATTTGTATATTTCTGGGAGATGGCATACTATCAACTGAGGACAGAGGTCAAATGGATGTTGGGTGATATAAGATAAATGTACTAGGATGATAAGCACTTGAGTCCACTTTTTTTTACATACTCTCCTAGTGTTCAGAGAGAGAGAGTGTTGGACATTTTAGGAGAGGTGTGTTTATATTTGGTTCTGGCAGAAATTAAGTTCAGTGTGAGAGATGTAAGCCTTCTTCTCATTTACTTCCTCCCCTTGTAGTATTATTTCAAACCAATTTTTCTCCTCAAATCATGGGACTTCTGCCACCCTTTGTTTATTGTTGCATTTCATCCTATTATCAAGAGGCAAAATTGAGAAATATTGGGGGCAGGACTTGTAGGTAAATTAAGCATGAGACATGTGCCTCAGGCCCCCTTTCAATGTCCAGTTCAAATGAACAATGTATTTATATATGAAGTATAGAAAATGTGAGTTCCTTTCAATAATGTCTCCAAAAATTTCTGTCTCTAAGAAACATTGAATTTGTTATTAATCCAGCTCTCTCACAAGTTTATTGTGTTTAGCTAACTCCATATCTCTCTCTGCTGTTTTTCTTTCTTTCATTCTTTCTTTTTCTCTACTTTCTTTGTGTAGGAACTGTGCTCCCCCATCTGTTGTTAAAGGGAGGGTGAAGGCAGCAAGGAGATAAAAGTTGCGTGAATGACTGTTCTCTGTCAGTAAAACTTCTTGGAAGAAGTGACAATAGGTAACACATACCTCCAACTGTTCTATAGTCCTCTCTCTCTGGGCCAAGGAGCTTTTATTGGGCAAGTGCTAGGCTTGCTGAGCCTGAAGCATTTCAATACTGATAAATTCTCATAGCCAGGTAGTCATAGCAGACACCTGCTTCTTGTTGCTAGGCTTGCGTTAACTCCTTGCATTCCAGTTCTACTAGCTGGTTAGTTATTAGGTAGACTAGCCTATAACTATGTTTCTAATGGTGAGATGTTTAACCCATCCCATACCAAGTCATGCTCTTTGGACCATGCACAAGTAGTGCTCAAATGGAAAATTAAATGTCTGGGAAACAAACACTTAGCCCACTCTCTATGTGCTTGGCTGTGGCATACAGGAACAGGCTTTAAACTTACTTTTGAGGGGTTGTATCTCTTGATTGACTGTATTCAGGATCGGAGCTTGCACTCTGATTCCGCCGCGGGCCGCAGCCGGCACACGGGCAGATTCCGGGCCAGTCCAACGCGCTGATTTTAAAGCCACCTGGCAACCATTATTTTCTGCTTCAAAATATACAGTTTCTAGTGGGTTAAGGGTCAGCATGGGTTCAACCCCATCAAACTCCACAACATATCATTGAGTGTGGCTGGATTTGCAGTATTCGTACCCTTGCATATCATATCACTGAATGGCCTATGTCATGATCACCCTATTTATCAGGCACTGAACTATGCTTCATCACTTGCATCGCTCCAGTTGTTTGGGCTTTGGCAGGTGCTTGAGGTGGGCAACCAAGTATCATGTAGTTCTGTACTTCATTCAGCATCTCCAAGGTGTTCTATAAGTTCCACAGTGACCTCTGTGTTTTGTAATTGTAATTTTCTATCTGTCAAACACTTAGTTATAACTTGTATTTCACAATGCAAGACGTCAGCCATACTTTAACAAAATTGGTGGGTCTATTTAATTTAATATTTATCATGGCATTAAGCAATTTTTCAAAAATCATTATACTGTAGACCTGCAGTACATAGGGAGCTTAGATCACAGTTTTGGTTAAAGTACAGACTCATTGTACTGGAGCAACTGTTTGTGAGCTTACCCAATTGCATCTATCTCATGTGCTTAATTTACAAAAATATGAAAAGAGTCTCAGTTCAACCATAGAAAACCTGGCATATCTTCCTACTAAGTGTTTATTGAAGAATGTAGATGAAACTGAACAAACCATCAAGTCTTTTGATCTGGTCTTGGACCAATGTTCAATATATCTGGACACCCAAGGTGCATTTAAAAATACTTGTATGATTTAGCATTTAATGTGCAATTTTTCGAATGTTTGGAAGGTAAAGCAGCACATTCCTACTGCATTTTCTTTTGGTCTGAATCTTATTGGTTCTTAATTATGTAGAACTATTAAAGAGTTTGTTAAATTGTTTAATTGCCAGAGAAGTTACTTGCAGTTAAATAGTATCTAATAAAAAGTCATTATCACTAAGAAAAATATAATATTTAGCTGTGCTGACACCTTTTCATAGTTATTACATGAATGTTTTTAGAAATTGTTTACTTACCTCTCAACAGGAGTGTGTTATATATAGCTACAATAGAGAAGGCTTCTGGACTTGTGAATGCACTCCTAGAAACCGATCGCATGCAGGAGTTGGGACTTGTGGTAGTGGATGAAGTCCACATGCTGGCTGAGCCTGGGGGTCGTGGTGCCATGTTGGAATCCATCATAACCAAGTTGCGCTATGCTGCTCGTAGGTATTTTATTGCATGTGTTTATAAGATAGTTGTGATGCTGATTTCTGTTCCCATTAACACTGATTTCATCGTGAGAATATCTTTATCAGAACTGATATTCATGACTATTATTGTCAATATTGTATTCTACAGTATATATTCATAACTGTGTATGATGGTGGAGGAATAATTTGTCTCTGTCAGGGAAGGTCCAGCTGGTTGCGATGAGTGCCACAGTTGGTAACCTGAATGAGTTGGCAAGCTTTTTAGGAGCACAGTTATACACAGGAAACTTTAGGCCTGTTGAGCTGGCAGAGTATGTGAAGGTAATTTTACCTTTTTTTTTTTTTTTTATGTCACATCATTATTGTTGACTGTACTTTTAAGTCTTCACTTGTAATTATGTAATGTTGTAGCTTATTTGCTTGACGATGAAGGTATAAACCTAGTTCATTGTTTGCTTTTTATATACAATGTGTATAACTATATATATTTTTTTCTCTCAATAGATTACCAACCAGATTTGGGAAATAAACACTGCTGCTCGTGTTGAAGAAGATTTGTTAAAGAATAAGCGTCTGAGTTGTTTTCCTGTAAGTTTGGATATGAAAAAGGTTCATATGAAATTAATTTTTATTTGGCCATATTATGCAGTAAGCAGTATTTATCATCATTATTATTATTGTTGTTGTTACTATTATGATTTTTATTGTTATTATTGTTCTTGCTGCTGTTATTATCTATATTGTTATTGTTATCTATTAGTATTGATGTTGCTATCATTATCATTTTCATTGAAATTATTATGATTAGGTGATAGAGAAATAGATAGTAGGCTAGCATCCTTTGTCTATTTTCAGGAGAGGATTGTACTCTTATTCTGTTCCTCTGTCTTCTTTTTTAAGAGCTTTTTGTCAAAATAAATCTAGATCATCAGTATGCATGTTTGTATTTTTCTTTTCTTTTCCCTTTCCCTTTCCTTTTCTTTTCTTTTTCTTTTTTCTTTCCTTTTCTTTTCTTTTCTTTATGGGATGGACAGAGATTCTTACCATAGTCTTCTCATAGGCCTTGTTTCATAATGTTCCTATATGTTGTCATTATTTTGTTGGCTGATGATTGAAAGATAGACATGTCTGAGCTTTTCCCTTATTTTCCTCACTAACAGTACTCTCAGGAGCAGAAGAAAATTGACGTTGATATGGTGGGTGGTTTAGTGGGTGAAGTAGTGCCTGAACATTCGTGCCTTGTCTTCTGTCCTACGAAGCGTAACTGTGAGACTTTAGCAGAGCTCATATGTCGAATTCTGCCCAAGGAATTGACTAAAGTAAGTACTTTTTTTTTTTTTCTGTACATTCATTTTATTGAGAATTTGTGTGAGATATTCAGCACGTCATTACGAGTCACTGGCACAGCAAATTTTGTGACCTCTGAATTTACAGATTCGAGTGACTGATAAACGCGCTCTCTACCGTGCCCTGTCTGAAGAGGGGTCTGGGGTTGTGTGCCCTGTTTTGAGAAGAATCATCCCATATGGTGTTGCATATCATCACTCTGGTTGGTTTGGCTTTATATCCATTCTCTTTTGTTTTTGCTCATTTTTATAGCCAGAGTTTTTGTAATGAGATATGATACCACTTTCCTAAGTCTCATGGCATTAAAACAGTTTGCATCATAATTTTTTTTTTTGTGTTATGTATTTTCATGCGTATAATACACATGATGACAAAAGGCGAATAGTAGAGCTTGAGCTCCTTTGCCAGTACATCATAACTGGGCTGTATTGTTGAGCTCGCTCCATGACTTCATCCCCTGTCTGAGTGCTAGAAGATCCATTGAATATGTTAAAATAATAAAATTATTGTTAAAGTAGCTGCACAATACTAGATATTGTAGTACATTATGTTGTAAAGTAAAACTGAATAAGCACTGAAAAGTTATGGTATTTTAGGGTTGACTGAAGGAGAGAGACGCCTTATTGAAGAGGGTTACCTTGCTGGAACTCTGTGTTGCCTTTGTTGCACTTCTACTCTTGCTGCTGGTGTCAACCTTCCAGCTAGAAGAGTGAGTAATCTGTTGTTGTTCTTCACTGATATTTCCTCAGTGGGTCTGTTGGTAAATACCTAAATAGAAGTACACTGTTGATTGTTATGCGGCCTCTGAAGCTTTAATTGTGTACTTTGATAAATAGGTAATTATCCGGTCACCTTACACTGGGAGTGCCTTTCTCACACGTGCAAGGTACAAACAGATGGTAGGACGGGCAGGACGTGCAGGCCTTGACACATGTGGGGAGAGCTTCCTCATTCTCCAGCCAAAAGACACAAAAGAAGTAAGTGAATCCAGTATTTTGAAAGATTGTATGTAAAATTGTTCATGATTAGAAAGTGACAGGTTATAGTGCTATTACAGTTTTGCTTATATAGTATATATCTGTTGTCTATAGTTAATGATAATCATATTTTACTGTGTGCTATTTTGCGAGTTGTTCCTTATTTCAAAAGACATGTAGGAGTATTACAGTTTTCTCAGCACAGTTTTACATTTGATAAATTGTATGCTTAACAGTAACTAGAAGTTAGATTTCAAAGCAAGCCCTTAGAAAAGGAAGAAAGAAAAAAGAGAAAAAGCTGAGTCATTAACCTTACAAGATTTAAGAGAACAAGATATTTTATTGGAGTGAATGTGAAATGGTTCATAGGAACTTAGGAAACAACAGACCCCTTTTTAATTTTTTTTACTTAATCACATTACCCTCCAAATGTCGCTCAAAGTAAATTCAGATTATGCACTCACACATACAATGGCTTACTCAGATTGGCAGACACATTATTGATATATTATTTAAAGTATCACCAAGCTAGATATTTAACTCTTTGTATTCAGGTGCTTCATTTTGGCTCTTGGACAAAAATCAACTTGCTTACTTGGGTGGGGATTTTCCTGTGTGTGACTCTTAGGCCTAGCTCATGCGAACACTCCTGTGTGCTATCAAGACTCCTTGCCACCTCTTTGTAATCTATTAACTCTTTTTCTGAAGTCTACACTTGTCATTAGTTATATTATATCAAGCTTAGTAAACTGTTTTCAATGAGCATGCTCAATATTATCTTTATAGGTAGTTTACATTCTGTGCAATAGTAGTAACAATAAGTAACATTAAGCTGTTTGTGTTAGTTTTTTTATATTTTAGTATTGTTCAGTTTCCCATAATACACTGCACTGCAAGTAATGACAAGCGGTAGGTTTCTGCTTAAGGTCATATTGTCTCTGGAATTGGTACTCTCCTGACCACTTAAATACAGAAATGAATGGCCTCATCACACACCTTGAAACAAAAAGAGTATGAATCATAACAAATGTACTACACAGCACAACATACCCATTCCCTTACAATTCTTCATATCCGCCAAGACATCACTTCCTCCAACAGTATGGAATATCCAATAAAGGGGAATTTTATAGTGTAGACTTCCATGTCAAGTACAACTTGGGAAACCAGTATTTCAGCTATAGAAAAAAAATGCAGTTCACCAGAGTAATGTATTGTTAACACTCCAGAGTGGTTTAAAGTATTTTGTTGAGTAAATCATAAAATCTTCATTTTGACAGGCTGGACTACTTTTGCTGTCTCCAATTGAAGTCTGTACATCCACACTGGCAAATCAAGATTGGCATGGAACAACTGGTGTTTACTTCGTTGGGCTTGGGAGTAGCTGTAACACTTCCGCAGTTGAAAGCTCTGACCCGACGTTCACTTCTCGCCCTTCAAGCTAATAGGCTGAATATAGATGTGGAGCCACAGGTGAAATGCTGAATCATTGTTTTAGGGTACAGAATGCTTTGCTGTCCTTGTGATGCATTTCAGATTTTTTTTTTTTTTTTTTTTTTTTTTTTTTTAGTTCATGCATATGATTTTGAGGTATTTGTGTCTGTAAGATTGCTTTAGGATCAGGAATATAGATTATTACTTGAATGAAGAGTGCTGGATAATTTGATCTCATTCAGTCCCCTTATTCCTTGCCAATATGAAATGCTGTTATGCATAGTAATTACAAATCCCTATATGAAAATATTATATTATATATATATGTTAGGGAATCATGATTTACTAATGGCTGTCAGTGTTATGATGCTTCTCTCTGTGGAATCTGTTGTACCTCCATCATCATCTCCCTCCTGCCATGAAGTTTGATTCAGCCAACGCTGTTTGAACCCAGTATCCATGCATAATGTTGTTCTAAGTATTAATTACTTGGATGTAAAACTAGTTTTGTTTTTGTTCATAACTTTTTTTCTACATTTGTTTTAGGTGGTTAAGATTGTGGAGGACCTAAGAGCTCAAGGTCTTGTTCGTATTAAAGTTGATGTCGTAGAACAAAAGTCATCTGGAGGAACTGCACCTAAAAGTTCAGGTAAAGAGATGTCATTTTACAATGTTTGATGATGTAGGAATAATTTTACAGGGAACGAGAGGCGATAATGGGTACACGTTGTTAGATATAAATGCTGATCTGATCTCTGTGCTGTTGTTAGGTGAATTCATTGGTCATAGAGAAGTAAATAGTCGGTTATCAATAGAACATATAGATCGCTTGCATCAGTCTCTCTTTGTTAGGGCTAGGTCAATATCATCTTGCTTCTTCCTTTTTAGTCACTTTCTTATTACCTTCACTATATAAAATTTTGATTGTGGAATATCATGGAATTGAAATATTATTATTATTTTTTTTTTTTCTTGGTAAAGGGTTTACATAAACTGAATAAAAGTTTTAGGACAATGATTTGTACACAGGTATAGAAAGTTATTATAAATGTCCCACAATTTTTTTTTTTCTGGCATTCTCAGTATGCATTGTGTTTGTATAGTGATCAAGGAAATTTTATATTTTATCTTTTTCTCTGAATGTAAAATTTAAAAGTTAAGCTTTTAGTACATGGGTATATTTACTGTCCACTGTGAATTTTGTCAAACATGAATGGCTCCACGAGGGCTCAGTCTCCAAGGAGTCAGTTAGAGAAGGTCAATATGACCTCATTTGATTCTTTGATTTCTTAAGATTTTCTTATGTTTTGTGCTATCAAGATCAATATTTATGATATTTTTATACTATTGCTAAAATGCTAATATCAGTAAGGAATGAAAAGGCAAGGTAACTTTACAGTGATAGATCCACTTCATCACCTTTATTCACAGTTTTTTTACCATTGGTATTACTGACACATTTTCAGAGAAAGTGCTCTGAAATAACACTTGCCATAAATTATTGCACAAATTGCTAGGGTTAAAATGGGGCCAGAGGTCATCACATTCAGCCATTGATAGTGCAGTATGAGATATCAGTTAGAACTAGGCACATAATTATTTGTATAATTTACTTGATATCGTTATAATTACCAGCAGTAAAAACAAAATTCCCGTTATATTTAACAGCCAAGAATTTTTGCAATGGTCAAGAAGGGTACATAGTTGAGATGATAAGACTAATCGACTCTGGTGATTAAGCACTTGTAGAACCACCTATATGTAAAAATAATTTTAAAAAATCTAAAATTGTGAAACTGGCATGTATATCATGCCATCCCAGCACACTGGGTTAAGATGAGCCTTTAGAAGTTATACATTTATACTAGATATTTTCACTGTTATTCATACGTTTGATATTTTTCAGGAAACAAAGCTAGCCAGAGTGAGCAGTCCCAGAATTCTACAATATGTAGTTCTTCCTTTTCAAGCCCTCCATCTCTTGAAAATGATATGGCTCAGATTATAAACCGTCCCATCAGTGAAAATGACATACTTACTGTTAGTAGACTTGGCAGGGCAGCTGTCAAAGGTTAGTACATATACTAAGATGAGTAGTTTGAGTAATATGGAGTCATTTTTGGATAATTGGCCAAAATGATAAAGTGCCTTTATTTTTTAAATGAGCCATATTGATAATTAACTATGTACAAAAGCATGAATTGGCACATATTTGTCGTAGTGAAAAGGTTGATTGTTCATATATATGTCAAATGATCCATTTTAATGATTGAGGGGAGAAATGTATGATGATTTTGTGCAGGTATGTGTATGGGGAAAACCATCATGGTTATCTTTAACCCCAAAGGACAAGCCATCTTATAAACAGGAGTTTAACAAGAAAAATGACACTGGAAAAAGAGCTGAATATTTGGAATTTTCAAATGAAACTCTTGATAACAGACTTGAAAACATCACAGTCATTTTCTGGGTTTCTGTGGGAGTGGGATTCCTGTAAAATTTGCCATACATCCCCACCAAGCATGCCCAAATATAGGATACATGATCATTTGGGGTTAAAAGTTAGCATTCACTATAATAATGGAAGGTATCAATTAAAGTATCGAGGGATTGTTTTTACACAGGGAATGTTGAACTGAAGCTAGCTGGACAACTTTACAAGGATCTTTGCCTTGCACGTGAGAATCTTGCTGTCAACAGCCACCTTCATCTTTTATTCTTAGTGACCCCTTATGATGCAGCAGAGAACATTAAGATTGTACCGGATGTTTACTACAGTGCGGTCAGTGATGTGCACAACTTTTGTAATTTTGTATTTATAATAAAGAAATTTATGTATACACAACTTTTTTGTGTGTGAAAATCTAGATATGGTATCTAGCAGAGCTCTCTGTGTCTAGTACGGCAGAGGGTCTAAGCGGGTACCTAGAGCAATGTGGAGTTTGCTGTAGTCCAGGTGGAAGTTGAACCTGGAGAAAGCACAAATCCACTACATTACTCAGTCAATCATATAGGTGATATCTAAAGATGCTAGGAATTCAATGCAGTTCTCTTGGATGAATTTAGAATGAACTTGTACTTCAAAATTTATAGTTAAAGTGCATATGACTTCTGTGCATATTAGATATCAGCTATTGTCTTCATCACCATCATTATCATCCCTGTGCTATGATGATTTATGCGCATCAGAGGAGGAAAATCAACATATTTCCTCTAATGTTGACCAAGTTTTCAAACTGAATGCACAAACCTAAACATACTTTTTGTTTCCAAACCATGTGAAAAATCATTTTATGTAGGGCACTTGGGTATGCCTGAATAACTGTGAAACAATTTGTCCTTTTACAGTATAGTAAACTTGCTACAGATGAGGTTAAAGTTGCCAAAGTTTTGGGCATCACAGAGGCTGTAATGGTCAGGATCAACATGGGTCAGAATGTAAAGGTTAGTTGTACAGTTGTTGTCTGTAATTAACATAATAACAAAATTTAAGGAGGGTAAGGTTCATCAGGATTGCTCTTACTACTTGATGGAAATGAAGTTCACTTTCATTTATTGATTTTTGCTTGACTTTCATCTTTATTTCTAGAATATTATAATTGTATTTATATATATTACTTTTGGGGTTCCAAACTTTATAATGTCTCAAATCTTATTAATAATTTTTCATCTTCAATCTTTTTGGAATACATTTAATGAAAGTTTCTATTTGATCTATGCAATTTACTCATGGATACTTGCAGAAAGTGAAGGAATCAGTTTTAAAGCGCTTTTATTTGGCCCTCCTGCTCTTCCAACTGTGGTCTGGTATGGGTATATGGGAGGCCAGTGAAATGTTCCGAATACACAGGGGCTTCACACAGCAAGCACTGTCATCTGCATCAGCATTTGCATCCTGTGTCTTCCATTTTTGTCAGGTAATTTGACTAAAAGTAATTACTGTTGCTGTCCTTTTGCTGTGATTTATGATATACCAGAATTTGGAATTTGAATCCCTATCACACTGAAGAAGCTTTCATTGGGGATTGGTGTTTGTGAGCATAAGTTACAGTAAAAAAAATAGACTGTTGAAAAGCATAAAGCTTATTATTTAGAAATAAAATAAAAGCTATATTGAGATTAACTTTGAATATTGTAAAGGCTTTTTGAGGCCATTGCTGTTGGCTTAAGTGATGTATACTTGCCTCCCAGGACAGAGCATGTGCAGTTGGTGTTACATATAGTTAGGTAAGGCTAGCATTGCTTGTTCTAAAGGCCTGAATGCCAAGCAAGGAACACCTAGGCATAAAACTAGATCAGTTATATTTTTGTTGGGTGAGGAAATATACAATTCAGTACTTTTTTCTAGGAATTGGAAGAGTTGTGGGCATTCAGAGATCTTTTAGCCAACTTTACTCGTCAGTTGTCGGGTTGCTGCACAGCTGAATTGCTTCCTCTGTTAGACCTGCCTTCTGTGAAAAAGGTAATTCAGAATATATTTTCAGATGTGATTAAACATTGAGCAGTTCTTTTATACCTGTTCAAAACACTCTCTCATATCTATAACCACTCTCTCCTCATTACAGGGCAGGGCACGTCTGCTTTACAATGCTGGCTATCACACACTGAAAGACATTGCAAATGCTAGTGCAATAGATTTGACTCGGTGTGTTGACCACCTGCCATTACGCACTGCTGCACAGATTGTTAGTTCAGCAAAGGTATGTTGTTTGATTATTATTAGACTTTTACCATTTTTATAAGTATTGGTAAAATCTATTCACATCTTGACCCTTTGGGAATAGACAACTATTTGGATAAAGGTGGATGAGGACAAGTGCAGTTCAGCACCTGGCCCATTTTCTGGCTTGCAATAGTGCACTCAATTCTTTAATGTTTTTTCCCACCAGTTTCATAGTTTTCACTAACTCAAAAAGCTGTTATTAGAGCATAGCATGGTTTAGGCATAGTTAAGCAAGAATTGATTATCCGTAGTATGATTCTAAGTTTTGTATACCCACCTGTCTAATCAGATGGGACCTTGGAATAATTAGAACATTAACTCCTTAAGTCTGGATGATGTGACCCTCAAGTTGTGAAAAAAATTGGCTGGAGAGCTGGATGACATGAATATGCCTCTTTAGAATTTCAGCTGAAGGCTTGATTGGCAGGAACGACTTGTGATGAGTACACAAAGCTCTTGGAGGGAGATTTGACTCTGTGGGCATTAAGGAAGGAGCTCTTGCATTATTCCTATCAGTAATGAGTGTAGAATGTATGATCCATGAGCCATGACTGGAAGAGCATTAACTCCAGGGAAGACACTATTTCCGTGCTTAGGATGATATTCCTGGCTGCTGTAACTGGCAGCATAGGGAGTGTTACATAATATTGGATTAAGATAGAAAATTTAAATGATAGATAACAAAATGTAATATATTGTTATTATTACTACACTGAGTTTTAACCATAGTGCAAGGAAAATAATATATAATCATACCATAGGCTATTACAAATATAGACATTGGTTTGTAGAGGGGGGACATACCTAGGACAGTCGCCACATATGTAAGCATAATGCTCAGATTTTGGGCCATGTGCAGGCAGTGAAGCTCCTGGATCCAATTGTTTAATACTGATTTTGACATCACATCTGGATCAAATGATTTGATAAGTATTTAATACTGATGCAAGGTACCATTCTATCATACCCTCTTTTTACCTAAACAATAATTTTTGTCACAACTATGACATTTACAGTAGGGTAAAGGTATGTTTTCTGCACTTATTATTTTTCACTCAATCAACTGATTGAGTGCGAAGTCTGATATGTGGCTTGATATAGTGCCAGGAAGTCCTGTTGAGTTAGTTTCTAGATGTAACCTACCATTACCCAACCATATTATTTTTAAGATGCGGATATCCTTGAATTATTACACATTTATATCATGTCTCCACACATACTGCTGTACTGCATGAGACACACAAGGTGATAAGGTGTAGCCTATCATGCAGGACATTTTACCATGGTGTGATTATATATCACATGTTCCCAGTGGGTTAAGAGTTAGGATCAGCTTCTGTAAGCATGCCTACAAGTGAATTGTCACCATATGTAGTACTATATTTGATGTTTTATAACTTGCACAGCTTACTCACTAAACAATGAGTGTTCTAAAATTATTATGATGATAACTATGATAGATACAGAATCCTGTATATGATTTTTTTTTTTTTTTTTTTTTTTTTTTTTTTTTTTCCCATATATCTTCTTCCCTTTCCATAACATTTTCAAATTGATTACCATTTAACCTAAATGTTTATTGTTCAGTCATGAAAAGATGCTGTAACATAGGCCTCTATGAGTTTATCTCATGTAATTCTTACAAGACATCAGCGTATGAGGTCGAAACTTTCACCTCTGTCAATTAGCTGCCCTAATAAAAACTAAATTGTTATTGATGCATTAATATTACGGAAAAGGAAAGGTAAAATAATAGTACATAATGATATTGCATGTCACTTGCTATTTTGTATTTATTTATTTATTTTTCTTCCTATGATAAAATTAGTAAAAAAAAAAAAAAAAAAAAAAAAAAAAAAAAAAAAAAAAAAAAAATTGGAGGATGGCATTAAGGAAGGAGCTCTTGCATTATTCCTATCAGTAATGATAAAAGATTGGGAGGGTGGACCTTTTGGCAGGAAAATATATCATGATGTTTTCCTGTACTTTTTTGTCTTGACAGGAGAACAGCTGTTTTCTTTAGAAATGTTGAATGTGCTTGATTATTTATTGCTTAATTATATATGTTACACAGACACTTCATAGCTGAACAAGGGAGAACAAATGATCGTTTATTCATTTTTTTTTATCATTATGATGATGATGATGATGATGATGATTTACCCAATAACACTGGGTAAAAAGAATTGGCAAGTGGACATAACCACAGGGTTGTTGGCACACAGTGACAGTTTCCCCTGCTTGCACCCAGCTCGCTTGGTAGTTTGCGGGCAACATTAGGCACCTAAAAGCTTGAATTTTGGTATAATATTTAAGAATGTATAGATTTTGAAGGTTTACCGTCACTGAAGGTGCTATTGCCTAAAGGTTTTACCATAGAAATAAGGCTAATACTGGAAACGTGCAGGAATGGTTGTGATATGATGCCACCCGCTACGTTGTCCACAAAAGCCATGGCATGTACGTACATGCCACCTGGCGACATAAGGTTAACTTTCATGTCAAAACGGAAATCAGTACCCACTCCGGAAGTACTTATCCTTTAGCAAGTTGCTTATGTTTCAGTGAGTAGGTAGTAGAGCTAAGTGATGACCTTTGGGGAATGTAACATTAAGGAGTTGGAAAAGTTTCGGGATTCAGATAAACATCCTTTGTTTGTCCAAGTGTTTATAGGCTGATTACTGAAATTGCAAAGAAACAAAGTATAAGAAAACAATTTATTTATTTACAGTTAAATCAAAGAATAAACCAAATAATATATAGAAATATAATACATGTTCAGCACTAGTAAATGTATAACGCTTGATGTAAAGAGATTCAATATCACAACAACATCAGATCTTACAGTAATTATCTTTACTCACCAAAAATTATGATTTCTGAGCCCTCCTGCTTGTTCCCTGTTTTTGTGAGTCTTACACTCTTCTCACTTGGAGCTTGTCTCCGCATTTTCTCCACTGATGGCTATGTTTGAATAACATTCTTTGATATATTAGCAAATATGACGAAAATGATAAATTGATATAAAATTATTCTGATGTTATAATCTATGATTAAGTTGATTTAAGGTACATTATTGGGGCCTTGAAATAGTAAGTGCTAATTGATTTAACTCAAGTTCAATAAGACCTTTTATAAAGCATTAAATTATAATTATTAACTTTTCATTAGTTATTGTGGATTATACTTTGTTGTAATTAACATTAATCTAAAAGATGTAAAGCTCAGATCATTCTTACATTACCAGTTCTTCAAATCAAAAGTTTTTTTATGAAAAAGAAGTCTTACTATAATCTTACATCATACTTACCATAGTCATTATATATGGCACTTGATGTTTTTTTAACTGAAAATATATATGAATTGTTTTTGACTGAACAGATCTTTGCCTTTCAGTGTTGTTTTGTAACTTGCAAATGTAGTAACTTGATATACTTATTAGGGAAAAGAAACTAAATCTATAATAGTTACATTTACAGATGTTACTGCTAGAGCAGGCAGAAGCGCTGCAAGGTGAAGCGGAAGAGGTCCTTTCAGGTCTTCGAGAACATGCATCAGGGACAGATATGCCGGCCAAAACTAAAGCCCAATCTGAGTGAGGAGAGAGCGGCTTTGTCAGAATTGCAAAATAGTGTCTTGATTTACAAAGGATGAGAGAAGCAGTGTGTTTTACAAAATCAGGTAATGTATCTGTGGGTATTCATATTTTTATACAAAATTGATATGAGGAAAAGTTTGTTATCCACAGTTTCAGATCGAGGTTTGCAAATGACAGGAATTTATTGTCTCCCCCTAAGCAGGTGAAAAGTAATGTAATGAATGAAAGTGAAATTCACAGAATTACAGTACAAGATAAATGTATTCTATAATATTCCATGTTTTGTTCATCACTGTTGTTCATGCTGTAGAAGGCCATTTTTATTTGCTTTAGATAGTAGGAGAAATGTACAAATTAAGAAGGTTTGGATACATTTGGCTAATTGATGAAGATTATTTTTCTATGAATAATGCTTGCACAGAGTGATATAAACAGTTGCAGTGGCATTTCATGTGATATGATATAGTTTTGACATAAAGCACCTTTTATGACAGTAAGTTGTAACACATTTTGAAGCTTATCATCTTTAGTAGTAGAAAGTCAAGAGACATGAAACTTTGTTGAAGTAACAAGTATTGAGAAAATATACATTCCAACTTGGTAGTAGGAGGATTTATGAACCTCTCTGAAATATGTAACCACTGGTTGTTATTTTGTTATCATTGTTATTTTTTATTTATTTATTTTGTAATTTCTTTATGAAAAGTTATTTCTGGCATGTCTTCTCTCAGCATAAATATACACAAACTGAAATACATTGATGTTACTTAAGTTGGCTGTCCCCTGTGATTATCTTCATTAACATATTTTGAAGTATGTGATATTTATCTTTAAGTGATATATTGAGTATGACTATAAGTAATCTAAGAAGGGCTGCAGAATGCTCTTTACTTTTAATGTATCTCCTGTACTTGTTTTGAATTTTAGTGTGACTATTCATGATTCTTTCAACTTGTAATCTCTATATGATATATATTTATATATAATGCTTTGAAGATTTAAAGTTCACTTTGTTATACAGATTTATTTTCTTTAATTGAAAGGAGAAATCTGATTTTTTGCAAAGTAGGTTTGCATTGTCTTGTATAAAAGATGTCTAAATGTATTTCATTGGTTATTTGGTATTTTTAAACTTGGTCTTTTTGGTGATAAAGCTTTAGGCTATTTATCCTAAACTTGAACTTTTGTACTTCAGGGTTGTTCTTCTATTGGAGTTGATATATGAGCAATATAAGAATGTCTTCTTGAGTGAATGAGAAGCACTTTACTGCAATTGATATTTTCTTAAAAGATGTTTTTAAGGTGCACCATATGTTTCATAATATTTTAGTATTTTGTGTCTGTAAGCCAGAGTGTCTATTAAAACTGTGTTACCAGTGATGATTGTAATGCCTACCTTTTAATCACAAAATGGTGGCAATGTATAAGCATTGAAAGATTATATGTAAATAATGATTTTCTTTTCAAAATAATATTTTTTATATTTTTTCATTGTTTTTTTTTACCTCTGATATAAATTCAATTGAATCTGGGTGATGAGGATCTCCCATCATGATAAAATTTGTTTTAGATGTGGGTGATAAGAATGTCTCGTCATGGAAAAATCTGACTGACAGTTGAGGTGATGAGAATGTTACACCATGGGAAATTGTTGCTGAGTGGCAGGTGATAGGGCCATCTCCTCATGAGTGCACATAGCTTTTAGAAGGAGATTGATCAGCAAGCTTTCAAGAACAGGCTCCTGAGATATTTCCATTGGTAAACAATGAATGTATATAGGAGACTGAAATTTCCTGAAAGTGTAGGGCGCATTCAGGTACCAAGAGGAAGAAAATCTAGTGACCTTACAGAAAAATGTAAGAAATCAAGAAATGGTGTGAATTTCTGCAAATAGACTGTATTCAAGACCAGACATAACCCCAGTAGAGAACCTGTGGGCGGTTATGATAGACAATTATGTGGCAGTGATACATCCTCAGTTCCCAAGTTAGAAGATGCTAATAAAAATATCTGGACCCAATTCTGCTGGCTCTGTACAAGAGTGGTAGGTAGTTTCATTATTTTTTATTTGCATATTCAAAGTGAAAGTGAAGTGAGTGAGTGAGTGCGAGTGTAAGTAAAGATGAAATCTTGTTTTGATTAATGGTTTTGTCTTTGTACTTGAACTGATTTCACTGATTATCACAATTTAAGGCAAAAGTAGCCAAACAGTTAGTGACTGCCTCCTCTTCATTACTCAATTTTGAATTTATGGAACAACTTTTTTTCTAGTTATCAAGGCACTGGGAGGGCAAATACACATGACATGTCAACTTTGATTTTAGGGAATTCATTTTATTCAGCCATTCATGTTATTACAAGTGTTTAGCCACCAAGGAGTCAATTAATAGGCCTATTGGACCTTGCCAGATTACCCCATTCATTGATTGTTTTTGTCCAATTGATTGTATTATTATTATTATTATTGTTATTTTCATCATCAGTATATATGATTGTAATTATAATGTTATTATTATTCCTAAGTGCAATGGCAAATTCTTGTGAAGCACTCAGTATGGCATGTTTGTTTGTCCTACTAACATCAGTGGGTTGTTATGTGATTTTGATGATTGTATGGTTACTTACTTGGTGTAAGTTCTGGTACTGAATTGAACCAATAATTTAATTTTCGTCTAAACACTTCCACAGTGCTCTGGGATGGGTTTCTAATGTTTTTTGGCACACTATTAAGTAGTCTTACCTTGATTTCCCCACCTTCTACTTCTCTTGGATTTTTAGCCAATTTTTCAGTAATCAATACATATATGATGAAGTGGAAAGTTTGGGTTGTAATGATCTCCCCAATATCTAAGACCTGCCATGTTGTCTAATTTTTGGGTGGAGACTTTGAACTTTGAACCAATATCGTCCTTTTTGAGACTTGAATTCCTTATATAACACTATTATTCCAATCTTGGAACCACTACTGTTTTCCATAGTGATTGTAGGTGTTCTGGAACCCTTGGCTGAAAAGCTCTCGCTATTCATCCACACATAGATTTTCCTTTACTGGCTGCCTTCTCAATGTGGTGACTGAAGCTCCTATCATTAATAATGAACAGGCCTAGATTTTTTACAGCTACCTTTTCTTTAATCTCTATTCCTTCAACAGAGTATGATCTTGGTCTTGGACCTCCACTTGGACTGTATCTTATGATTTCAAATTTACCAGCATTGAAGTTCATATTGTTTTCAGTTTCCCATTTACAAATGGTGTGTAGGTCCTCCCTTAGTTCGTCTTCATCCTCTATCAGACTTAATGATGTACCTAGTATCATCAGCACATGATGTTACTCTGGAGTGTTTAATATCTGCATTAATATCCCCTATCATAATTAGGAACAGCTTTGGTCTAAGAACTGAGACCAGTGACCCTCCACTTCTAACAGTTGATTCATTAGAATTGATAACTATTTTTTGTTTACATTTTTTTATATAAAATCATGTATCCATATTTCTACTTTTCCTGTGATTCAAAGGTCCTTTAGTGTATGGAGTAAAATTCCATGGTCAAATGTATCAGAAGCTTTTGCAAAGTCTAAATATATTATATCAACTTTATTCTCATTTAAGTATCTTAGTATGTGTTCATACTGGTTCAGTTTTTGAGATAGATAATGGTTCAGGATTTAAGATGGACAAGATCTACCCTTTCTAAAGTCATGTTGTCCAGGGTTTATCTTGTTTTCATGTTTACTACCCTTTCAAATATTTTTATGTTGTAGTAAATTGGGAAAGGTTTGCTGTTGAGTCTAGTTATCTCTAAATAGATTTTACTGTAAAAATCAAGTGGACCTCATGAATTCCATGTTGGGTGTCAGTAATAGCAGAGGTCAATTCCCAACTCTGGTGTAAAGATATTTAAAATTCTGATTCTGTTGAAACTATTGTATCAGATTGAATGCCATCAAAGAATAGCATTTAGGAAAATATAAGAGGGATTGTACATCTTTAATGCCTCAAACCAGATGAGTGGATGAATGTTTGAGTCAATTGCTTTTACATAGATAGTTAACAATGGGCACATGAGATCAGTGATTATTCGCAGTTCATTCATCATTGTGAACAAATGTAAAATATTCATTGATTTTAAAGAGAACTTGTCTTAACTTACATTAAGAATTACAGATCAAGATGGATTGATAGTTGGTGAAACAAAGGTCTGTATAAGTAAGGTCTCTTTACTATGGTGTGCACCCTTGTACAAGATTGTGTCAGTGCTTTTCTCAGCTGCATGGGGGGTCACCCAGAAGATCAGATCAGGGATTGCCTTGGCCATGTAAACATCTTGCCTGTATTGGGGAGATGTGACAAGTATGTGTGCATTACATAGACATCTCTCTTAGATGTCAATGTTTATGATGGTTGGTTACCATGCAAGACTGACCCTTTCACTTTAGTTAATATAGGCCTCCAAAAGATAAGAGGATTGGACATTATCTCCAACAAATCAGGCAAAGGAAATTGATTCCATGCTAACATCTACAGCACATTTCTAAATTTAGAGGACGGCAATTTGATTTGATATTGCATTACTTACCTTCTGATTGTGGAATAATAATGATAACAATAATAGCAATCATAAAAATAATGATGAGAAAAATAATAATGATAATAGTAAGAAAGAATAACAACAATAATGATTGTATAAAAAGTATATAGCTAAAAAGTGACCAACATTAAATATTTACATACAAGGAGTGTAATAAGTTTCTGCTCATTAACATGTCTTAAAAGTCCATTCTCACTACTCTAATACCAATTATGTCATACCCTCCTCAGCCAGAGCTGCACAAAATGGCACAGTGACAAGGCCTTAGACCTTGTGATTAATTCTCATTCTGATCCTCTTTGATCTTAGAGCTTTGTTCAACAATAGGAAACTGCTTAGTAACTTGAGTCATTTTTATTATGATTATGCATAATGCTAGAATAAGAATTTTGAACTCAAGCTAAAGATATGTTTCAAAAACATACAATGGTAGTGCATTTACCATCGTATTTACCAGAGATTGTAAATTGCGACTCAATAAGCAGTAGTAATACACATCTTTAGAGATATAATCATAAAACAACCTAACCACTTTAGTTCTAATGTCTGACAGAAGGCAATTTTGTCACTCTGGCAAAGTAATTGCAACAGTTAGCGAGTGCTATATATGATTCTTTGGGCTCCTTCAGCCAATTACACAACATGTAACCAAAAATCCGATAAGTGCGATCTTTGACTTACAGATGTAGCAATGGCATCTTATAAATCCGCCCAAGAGATGGGTAGAAAATTTGCAGATAAGAGCATTTATATATCAATCGTGTGATGTTCAAAAACTTTCTGGTATTGCTCCTGATACTTTCCTGATCCTCTCACTCATATTCAAAGACAATTGTTGCACCTTAGATGGAGAGCCGGACCGGCATCTTGTGCCCGTCAGTGAATCACCTTGAGCTGTCTTGTGCCGCAGCAACAGTGATTACCTGGTGGAGGTCCAATTCTCTGTTTAAGGTGTCTAAAGTGTCTCTGCATATGAGCACAAGTCACATTCCCCAGTCCGTCCCCTCCTATTTCTCTCTTTTATCCTTATGATTCAGTATTTCATAACTTGGTGGTTTCTGTTTTCACAGACCTGTATCTTCCATATAATCTAATCTCCTTGCCCCATTTACTTGCCCTCTTTGCCCTTTTCAATGCCATACTGCACTAAAATGCTATACTATATACTACTATTGACATGTAACACATCTAATCATTAACTCATAACCTCCCTCTTTACCCTTTCTGCTATTATACTTTCATATTGTGCAATATGACCTTTGATGTCTAGTACATTTACTTTTTAACTATTAACCATAAACTATTGGCTGTTTATCATAAAAAAAAAAGCCAGAGCAGACATTTATCATTTTCATTTATCACTCTTTACCATCAATCAAGGAGCCACTTCAGACATATTTGTTGTCATTTATTAGGGTACCAACAGGCACAGAAGCTTCTACAGTATTTTGAAATATCTACTACCAGTTTATTTAATGACAGTTTTTCTCAACATGTAATTTTCAGAGTAGAAAAAATGTTTCAAGAGTTCATAATGTAATGATCTCATACAAGTTACATTTTACTACAGTATAGGCCTGTGGCTGTCTGTGATCCTATGAGAATGTTTGCAGACATTATTATTGATAGTTTCAAATGATATTTTAATTTTTTTCACCATATTTATGTTATAATATATGCTTGCCATTATTCTAAGAACAGTTATAGAAACGAACAAGAACATCTTCACAGCAATTACCAGCAGACTTGCTTGTATTCTGACCACTGCTAAATCTACGATAACTTGATAATTTGTTCATTAATACTTGTGGTGATGTGTGTAAAATTATAACAGTAGTTGCGTGTGATTTTACCATTGTGTTATTAGTGAATCCAGCCCCAAAATACCAGCTGACC